TTTAAAAAAAAAAAAAAAAAAAAAGAAAAAGTTTGAGTTTAGGAACTGTTGCTTTATCTGGGTTGACCTGGTCAGTTGACTGTGTTAGCTATTGGTATATATTGATCTCATCCTGTTTATATATTGTTTTATATATGATACCTAAAGCACTAGGTATTTTGCAAAGCAGTGGGAAGAAATATGTCTGCAGAAACTCAGTGGCTTACACAGAGATGCAAGCATGCAGGAGTGTGGTTGACTCCCATCTGCTTTTAGGCTGTACTTCAGTTGTTTTGCTTTTTGCTATTTTTGGTGTATTAAAGGAGCCCTCAGGGATCCCTCAAACTTTAGTCCTTGGATTAAAGGAAACCTACTGTGGCTAAAGGAGGAAGAAAGAAATTACAAAGCAAAAAGCAAATTGACATCCCTCCCCTTTTTTTTAAAGCATTAGTATGACTTATATTTTTAGGTTTTTGTTTAGTTTAAAATATTTAGTCTGTCATTTTGGAGGGGTATTATAGTTTAAAATATTAACAGGTAGACATGTGAGCTGAAACAGGGAGTTGTAGTGATTGTACAAATATAGTGCACATTGCTTTCAAAGACCTTGCTGTCTAAAGTGACAGGACTAAAGAACACAGTGTGTGGAAAGGGAGAGCAGAATGCAAGGATAACAGCTAGAAAAATGGTGTAACCTTATGTACATTCTGACTTTTGCCAAGTTCTGTAGATGCTTTGGGGATTAATTTTCCACACTTAATTGTTTGCTAAGTATCTTTATGAAGTGAAGAATAAGGAAGATGAGGCTACGAAAATGTGCAAAATTTGGGAGGCTTTTATTTTAGCTTCCTTATGGTGCCTGTTTTCCTTTGTAAGCGACAGCTTAGTTCCTGGCATCTGTGTTTATGTGAGGCTCTGCTTATATTTTTGATCATGAAGAGAATTGTGAAAATAAGAACAGATTAAAAACTTTAAGAAAAACCTTGAATTTTCTTCCAAGTAGGGAAAAAATTATTTTTACCTTTAGTTTCCTGCTCATTTAGGCCCAATTCCTGATCTCTATCGATTTGGTATGGAAACTGCATATTCAGGAACGAATTAGTTAACAGGCAAGGCAATGGGCTTGTAAAATCCAAATTGTAAATGACAGTGAGACATACCCTGTGAACAGGATCAATAGGCTGCATTTAAAAGTGATGCTGGGAGGGGAGGACTGCATCATAATTGAGTAGGTAGCGTGTAAAAATAGCATACCTGAGGATCATAGAATCACAGAGTCATTAAGATTGGAAAAGACCTCCAAGGTCATCAAGTCCAACCTCTGCCCACTAAACCATATCACAAAGTGCCACATCTACTTGGTTTTTCAATGCTTCCAGGTACAGTGACTGCACCATTTCCCTAGGGAGCCTCTTCCAATGCTTCACAACCCTTTCCATAAAGAAATTTTTTATATTGTGTTAAAGCATCTAGTCACTTGGGAAATATGTCCCTTATTTCTTGCACTGTCGTATGTTAAATGTCAGTGTGCATTTTCTTGTGAGGAATCCCTTTGGAGCCGCTGCCCATGAACAGTTGCAGCATCAGTGCTCAGATCACACTTGGCGATGGAGTAGAGGGATTTGCTGAAGGTGTCCCTGCTGCTTTTGGGAGCTGCTGCCTCCTGCCCATCACTGGAAATTTAATTTTTAAATTTAATTGAATATTTAATTTTTTTTTCTTAAAGCATGGCAGTAGGGTGAAATTTGCTCTTCCTATTCATTTGTGATTTGTTCAGAAAAAGGGTAACACAACCCTCTTCCCATGGTCCTTCCACCCACTCAGGCTTTGACAGAGGATGTGGGTTTCTAGGATGTCTGGAGTGGGATTGGCAGTCCTCTTTACCTGGTTTGGGAGACAGCTCAGATTTGCTAAATAGAGCCCTGCTGTTGCTGCGGAGCGTAAGCACAGCTGCTCTGTAATGGGTATCAAATGAATTATTGGGGGGTCTTATTTTCCATGAAACAAAGCTTGTTTTGGCATTTTTATAAACATGTTGTAAATTACATCAAAACATATTTAGGAGTTAAGTGTCTCCTGAAGAAAAAACAGAGGGAAGCTTTTTCTTTAAAATAGAAAATAAATTAAAAAAAAAAAAAAAAAGTTCTACAGGGTTAATCCCAATGTGTGGCTTTAGCCCCAAGCAAGAGTTTTTCTTCCCTTCTCCTCCCCTGCCACTGAGAAAACACTGAATTCATTCACACCAGCAACAAATGCAGTTTCCTGGAGGAGAGAGAAGACTGACAGGGAACTGAGTGCAAATGAGCTACGTAAATGCCTAATTTAAGTTTAGCAACAACAACAATAAAAAGGAAATCTGTAAATACAGCAATCATAAGGACAGTTACTTTTTGCTATGTATTATTCTTTTCATGTACGGAGAATCCATGAATCCAAAGTGTTGGTACTTCACCAATTCATACCAACAGCCTTCAGAACTGGAAGTACTGGGTTTGGGATTTAAACTCTCATGACGAAGCTAGAGCCCATCCTTTCCATAGCTTTTTGGTAGCTGAAGAAGTTTGGACTGTTTCAAATATTCTCATGGTAGTGGTTACTTTGAGGATTACATGCATATTTATTATATGTGAATTCTAATGCTTTATAATTGGTAGCAAAAAATCTGGCTTCTTTTCTCTAAAACTGTAGCAACTGTTCTGGTAAGAATAATCAAGCTTTTATATCACTTTATTTTTGCTTGTATCCTGCCCACCTCAGAGATTACTAAGTAGAAGCACTCATCTCAAAATATAAATGTTGTCTTAAGCCTGCTCCATTATTCAAGCAATGTTTAGTGTAACCCTGTCATATTCTTATAGTGATCCAGCTGCCAAAGCTCTCTGGGAGTCCTTCATGAACCTCAAACAAAAGGAAGCTGTGATGGAGGCCAGGAGACACCTTGTGGAGGCTGCAAGCAGAGAAAATTTACCTATTAAGATGAGCATGGGTGAGTAATGTGACATAGCCTTCCTGACATAACCCTCTTGGAAAAAACTCATCCATCCTTGGTTCACCCCCATCCTTGTCATCAGATTTCAGGTGAGCATTGTGGCTACCACAGGATCTTTCTGGTATACAAGTGAGAGACAATTTTATTTTGTTTTAAATATAACAACCTTAAAAAGATCAAGAGCCATGAAGAAGCAATGGATTTCTAGAAAGAGGGTTTTAAAGGCATATGCAAATGGTTAGCAGTGCTATTTGTCTTTATTTTGCAAAGCATGAGAATTTAGGTTTTTCTTAAAAAGCCAGCAGAATTTGTGTCCTGAAAGAAGGCATTGTAAATAGCAATTGATGGAAGCTGTGCAGATCCTACGTATGATTATGTAGGTAGTAGTTGCATTATATAGATAGTGAGTTTTATGTGAAGTGAGGCTGCCTGGCTCAAGGGAGTTTAAGCTGAAATCCATGTCTTGCCACTCCTTAAACATGAATTCTTCAAAATGTTAGAGATACAGATTAAAACATAATTACTTTTAATAGCTCTTTTGGAACCTCATTCTCATTATATACCATACTCAGTGATATGCAGAAATTGATATAATGTTAGTTTTATAAAAAATGGTGTTGCTCTATACAGAAATATTTTCCTGTATTATACATACTCTTGGGACTATTTTATGCTGAACTTTTCATCAAGAGAGAAAGGTCTCATGGAATAAGAGTAATAGACGTTTGTCTGTGACTCCAGAGTAAACTGCCAAGATATTCTAGAGGAATTAGATGTACAGCCAACTCATGAACTCTTAACAACCATAACATGTAATATATTGTATGGCCTTTACAAATACCTGGTAGATTATTAATCAGAAATTCTAAATTTATGTAACATTAATACTGTAAGCTGTTTTAAAGAAATGGAAAAGGACCAGCCGTGAGAGGGGTATTACAAATTTGTCTGATGGAGGCAAGGCACAATAAAGAATAAAATCCTGTTTAAGCTTTCAGTGTACTTATCAGTATTCACCATAATAATGTTAATAAGCCCCCATGTTTTGCTATGACATGCACCATTAAAACAATTAATATTAATGTTGAAACTCAACTTTGTTATAAAAGTAATTACTTCTTGTCTTTGAGAGGCAACAATTTGTCTATGACCTTTGCTCCTTTGTGTGAATGATTGGATTAGCCACCCCTTCTTCTGTGTCTCCTTCCTGTGGCATTCAGTGAAGGCTGCAATAACCTGGTTCTTAATCATAGCAGCTGACACTTAAGGATGGCAGATTAAATGTTTGATGCATGCGGGCCCAATGTAGTGCTGTACAGAAACATTTAGGAGTTGATGGTGAAACAAATTTCCAATTTTTTTTGTCTTTTTTTTTTTTTTTTAAATGTAGCATAAACTAATGTTTATGGAATTTTGTTCTTTTTTAAGATGTGTATTTATCTTGGACTAGTATCATAATCAGTTGTTAACTTTGTAGTTGATCTTCAGAGGGTGAAATGAAATTCGAGGCAGTCTTGTAAATTATAAACAGGGATAAAATGAGAAACAAAGAAAGGAGGGCACTACAGTCACCAAAATAAAAAATTCTTACTGAGCGTAAATGCAGAAAACCCAAAACTCACACCCAGATATCACATTGTGTGATGACAGGTATTTGTTAATGACTTTTTAAAACAGATCTGCATTTTTACAGCATTCACTGCTTGTTCATCATGCTACAGAACATTTTAGCTCTCTGTCAGGAAGCTGAAAATTATGTTATCAATTGCTGCATTTGCTGAGAAGGAAAAAATCCTAGTGGCCTTTTCTGGTCCTGATTGCTGTGTTTTCTTGAAAGGCTCCTTCCACTGCAGCTGTGATATGAGGCAACATTGGCTGGAGAGAAGGGAAATGCTTTCACTCTACTCTGTGCTTAGACTTGAGTTTTTCATGATTTTACCTCAGGTTCTGTCTGTATTGGAAGTTCTCAGTGGATTGCACATTGGTTTTCCCAACACTTGGGGTATTTTCTGAGTTTTTTATGGCTCTAATATTAAATGTCAGAGAGTTTTTCTAGCATGAAAGTTTCCTCTTACTCCCTTTACTAAGACCAGCTGTGTCAGATGATTAGAGTATTTTCCTTACTATTACTTTCCTGCCTTTTTTTCCCCTTGGAAATAAGGAGTGAATTACATTTGAAAGCAAAGCTTTGCATTACATTTGGTGTAGCTGAGCCCTCCTGTGGTGGCCACCTGCCTGAAAAGCTGCATCACGTGTGACACTGGCAGCATGGGAGCCCTGTTGAAGAGATTGGAAACTCGATCCCATCCTGTTTCCATATTTTCAGTGTAAAGAAAATAAATTCCGTTGTTTTCTGGGTTTTGAAAGGCTACTCATTGCTCTGAGGTGTGCATGTGCTTGCCCGTGTTTCCCTGCAAGCAATGTGCCTGATGCCCAGCTTTTCTCTTTCTCTGCCTGGCTGCATGTGGCAGGAGCTCTGATAGCTCAAGTTTTTGCTTTCTGGTGTCTTCTGAATGTGTCCTTTTCCTCCTGAGAGGGAAGGACAGTATCAAAACTGTAGAAGGGTGCTCATGTCTTCTCTCCAACGCCTCTAAATGTCTGCAGGCCACTGGGAACTCCATCTGCTTCTGTTGAAATTAGCAGGAGTGGAGAGAGGAGAGGAGTTTTGAGGAAGGAGAAGAAAGAGGAAAAAAAGGACACCATTTTGATCACATTTTTTGAGTTGGGTAGATTGGAACATTGTTTCCAGATGTTCTTGAAATGCATATCCATTTTATTAGTTGTATCAAGGAAAGTGGTAGTGGGAATGTCTGAAAGTTAATTGTTTCAGAAGGAGTCTGTGGAAAGAAGGTGGCTGGGGTTGTACATTTTGGTGGATGGATTCTTGGAGCAAGCACAGTTTCAAATTTAAGGCCATCTCCATGACATTTGAAAATACAGCAGGATTCTCGCCTTTTTCTGTAGCTCTGTCATACTCAGATTTTCAGGTGGACCATTAAGTGGTCTTATACTGTCTTCAAGGAAGATTTGCTTTTTTTTGTTTATTTTTCTCCCTCCATATATGTCTGAGGAAAGAACATATTTTATCTGTCACTCACTTTGTGAGTGAAAGAACTATGTTGTTGCTACAAACTTCATCAAGTGATGGAAGGTAGTAAACTGTTCAGAGCTGTTTATTGCAAGGATTTTAAAATCCTATTTCTTTTTGAAAGAGGAATTGCAAGTCTTAGGAAATTGCTTCACAGAGGGAGACAAACTGCCATGTGTTGGTCCATAAAACCAACTAGAACATAAAACTGTGGAACTACTTTGCCCTTTATTTGGAGAACAAAACCTGAGCTGTATAGCTGTGTAGCATATTTGATTTTCTGAGGTCAGCCTCAGAGAAGGCAGAGATGAGCATCATGCAGAATTCCAACCAGCACAAAAGCTTTACATGTGCTACATCCGGTTTACATACTGCTTAATTAGTTTAATCCACAAATACATAATATGAGCATAATGTTTTTTAAGATGTAATTTCCTGGAAGTTGAGTGATGCTGTCAGTATTGACTTTTGGGGAGTATTTCCCTGATATTGCTTGCTGTGGGCATGTGGACATTGAACTCCTTCTTTACAGGATGATATAAATGCACTGAAACCATGTTGCTAACATAGTAGTTACATCTAAGTTTTGCCTTAACCCTTTCAGCTAGCTACATTTCCCAAAACAGTATCTGTTTGCATGTAAACGGATGGAGCTGTCCTTTTCTGGATGCAATTTAAATGAAGAGGCACTAAAATATTCCATGTCAATCTATATACACTCAAACACTTTAAAAAAACCCGAAAACCAAAAAACAAGGCTTTTTAAGAACTACATTTTGCCTCTGAGGTAGTTGCATTTGTGTTTTAAGTACCCAGGTGAATGCTGATAAATATTTGATAAAATCTGGTCAGATATCCCACTGTGTAGGTGTAAATTTGTAGGTGTAAATTATTTTTGGTATAATAAAACTCCTGACATTTAAAAAAAATTATTTTATTTAAAGAATTTTTTTTTTTTTTGAAAAGCTGTTTGGACGACAGCTTAGAGGATTGTCTTAATAGCTTTTTGATGAGATTTATAGCATTGTGCTAAATTCAAGTGAGATTGCAGATACTGGAAAGGGATTACTTATGCCCACCTCTTAGTAAGTGACTGGAAGGAGGCTGCTTTTTACATTCCTCTACTTTCTGTTCCATTCTTCATGGGACTGATGCATATCTTAATCATCCTCTGCTGCATGGCAGCCTGTGAATCTCTCCTTTAAAGCTTTGCTATTAGCATAGTACTTGGCAGTGGTAAAAACTTCGCTACTAATGTTCTTTTGTGGCTTTAGCAACACCCTTGCTCTTCTCTTTGAAATGAGCACAGTAAACCTGGATCAAGTCTGAATTCCTTTATTGTCTCTTTTTACTGGCATGGAAACTGATGAAAGTCAAAACTCTGGTATAGTAACAGGAATGAAGTGCTGTGTGCTGTTACACAAACCCTTGTTAGCAAAAGAAAAGCCATTTGGTTTCTTTCCATTTGAACTGTAAAAATACAGTTTTAAAAACCAATCTGACTATAAAATTAGCAAAGCCTCAGTCTTTGTGAAGTAAAAAAGAGTACTGTAACTTATTCAGACGGGTTGGTTTGCATGGGTTGAATTGGTTTGGGTAGAAATGGGAAGATGCTGACATTTTAGCCTGGAGATATGAAATAACGTTTTGAGTTAGAACTGTATGTTAAAATGGACTGGAAAATATAGTTCAATACTTCATCTAAAAACATAAAGAATATGAAGTATGCTTTTTTTTTTTTAAAAGGAAAAGTTGCATTGTACTGTAATGATGTTTAGCATGCTATTTGTTCTTTTCAAAACCAATGTAAAAATGTTCAAGATTTGATACCATCAATGCCTGGAATAAACTTTTGGGATAAAAGCTACCTGCCTAGAAATGAGCTAATAAAATAGATAAGAACATATAT